AACAAGCTCTGCCATAATGACACTGAGAAGAAAAATTTGTTTGATACTGCTCAAGACAAAAGAAAAGAAAGACTTGATAACAAAGAAGATACTAAGAACAATATCAGTTTAGAAGTGGGTAATCTGCAAACTTCTAATACGCTTATGCCTTGTCAAGAGAAAGGGATAATCCACTCTTACTTAAGCAAAACAAAGCTCTGATATTGTAAGTACACTCTTGTCAATCTGTCAAGGACAAAGACTCGATGAGGGAAAATATACACAAAAAGGCTATCTTTGTAGGACACATGCCTTGACTTACAAAGCAAGTTTTTCTACGTGTGGGCCACATAGTTAGCTTGATCTTCAAGTTAACAACATGTGTGGCACATGGCCAACTTGTTGACCACATTTCTAATCCAAAAAGTCAATTAAAGACACCTATGAAGTCAAAGCAGTGTCTAAGAAGTTTCTAGGAAGCTTCTATATTAAATATTAGAGAATTAACTTACTTTTATCTACTTTTACTTACTTCTACCTATTTCTATATGTAATTATTAGCTTACATGATTATGGCCGTGACACAAACTCATATCTTTACAACAAAGATTATGCTTAATTATCATATATGCTACTAAATTTTAAATCCTTACTTGCAACATGGATTAGAACAACAAAGCCCTTATCAACCAATTTTGATATGAATTAAAAGATAATGCCAAAGATTTATTGTTGATAATGCCAAAGATTTATTGTTGATAATGCCAAAGATTTATTGTTGGTAATGCCAAAAGCAAGTATATTATAGTAATGTATTATTCAAGCTATTATATGCAACAATCGACTCTTTAAAAGACAATAAGAAGTAAGATTTGGTTAGAGATGTATAAGTCAAGTCATAGTAATAATTTCTAAGTTTACAAAAGTTTATTCATTAAGATTGAAACCTATGCAAATTGACACAATATATTCCAAATTTCTTATTCAGCAAAAAAAAGACTTAGTATCATCAAGAAGATTTGTACTTGCATTGTAGAAAATCTAAATGTATTGCTCAATATTGTCAAAAAAAAATCATAATCACAAAACGATGAGCATAGTTGTCAAAGCGGATGATGTCTCAAAAAATAAATTCCTCCAACTACAATAGGGACCATATAATTAGAGTCTTGTACAACATCTAATAAAAAATTTATTCTCTCTTGTAATCCCTTTCCTTACTTTACAAAAGAAGTTTTTTTAAGACCAAAAAAACCACAAAGTCTTTTCCTTGTTAGATTCAAGAGCTTCAACTTGTTTTATAGATAAAGACTTTGTCAAAAAATAAGAAATGTCTATAGTTAAAAAAATCAAATCTATGCATGTAGAAGTAATAGATAATTATTTTTTATCTTCTAGAGATGTTATTCATAAAATTATTCCTTTAAATATAAAAACTAATAGTTATAATAGCTTAGTAATATTTAATGTGATTAAATCTCTTTTTAATCTAATCATTTAAAGATTATTGTGACTGAAAAAGTATAGTCCTCAAATAGATTAGATTTCTTGTAACTTTGATTTTTTTTTGTAGTTTAATTCAAGATTATGTTAGTCTAATAAAAAAACAAGAATAAATAATATGAAGGTAGTAAAAAATTTAGTCTTAATATTACCATTTTGTAGATGAAATTTCTATTTATTTTGTAGAGACATAAATGAGCCTAATCAAAAGAGAGAAAAAAATTAATTAACAAAAATATGTTCAAGAAAAGATTAAGAATAGGTTTTAGCAAAAATTATCTTAAAATGTGAAAATTTGATCCTTAAAAAGGACCAATCATGAAGAAAGGTTAAAATCAAACCTTAAGACATGAAACCATGTATCAATGGCAACTCCAAGGTTCTTTGATGTATCAAAGAATGAGATTTGAAAGCAAACTTATGAAAAGATTTTTGATGATTTATTTTATGTAATTTGAAGATACATTGAGGTTTTGAAAGATATTCAAAGTGAGAGGTGTATATAGTGGATTTGGATTTTAAGAAATAAAAAGAAGTTCACAAATTTGATAACTTTATGAATGTTGTAATATATTTATAAATAAAAATTTATTTATTTGATATTATATTTGTTAAAAACGTATGTAAGAAATTTAATGTCAATCGAGTAGTTAGATTCAAGATTGTAAGAGTTTTGTAGATTATGGTCTTGAATAATTAAAATATAGGATTAGTGAGGGTTTTTGCAATCTTACAATATTTTCTAATTTTCTTGAAGTAAAAATTAGTAAAAGCAATTCAAATTTAAATATCTACATATTAGCCAATTTTTGGAGCAATTGAATAATTCAATAAGAAAAAAAAATTGTTGAAAGATCAATATTTAAGTTAGAAAAGAAAGACATCCAACATCTAAAACAATTTGAAAGATTTTCTTTCAATTGATGATTTTGATTATTTTCAAATTTTGTTTAATTATTACTTGTTTGAGAATAAATTCCTAATGATTGATATTTTTTGGAAGTTTCTTAATGATTTTATCATTTATTATTTATTATCTAAATGATATTTTAATTTACTGTAAGATCTAATTTACTTTTCATGATGAAATATCAAAGTGGTCTTTCTGCTTTTGCATGAAATACTATTAATGGCTGATATGACATATCAACCATCTTCAAAGGGAACAAAATTCAGAGTATGTGGCAAATACAATTCACATCATTTTGGACTTCCTCAACATATGATTGCCATTTTTGATGCAACTCGTTCCTAGAAGGATGTTAATGTCACTAACATATATATTTATTTAAATAAAAAATATTAGATAGAAGATAAATGTAAGTAGATTTAATATTATTTTATAGCAAAGCTTCTTAGAAGCTTTATAGATGCATATTTGTTTTTATATATGTTTGTAGTTGATTGGTAGGTTAGAAACTTAGCCAATAGGTTAGTCACATGTTGTATGTATTGATAGCTTGTTGTACAAGCTAATGATATAGTACACATTTAAAAAACTTGTCTTATAAGTTAAGACATAAAAATTGAAAACTTGTCAAAGGTCCTATAGAACATTGTTATGTAGCTTCTAATTAGATAATATATATGGAGGTAAGAGTCGAGCCTTCTTCACTCTTATCAATACCTTTCTAGTCTTTAGTCTTTTTTCAAGTCTTTCTAGTCTTCTTATCTTTGATAGTAGCCATTCTAGTCTAGTATTATATAATCTTTAAGTGATTATTTAGTTTTTATTATTATTATTATTATTATTATTATTAACACAAGAGTGTATTGATCAATACACTCTTATATAAATCAAAAAAGACTAGATAATCACTCAAAGATCAAGTCTTTGATAGTAGTATGGAATCAAAGAGGGAAGAAAGTTAAAGCAAGCAACTCAATTTTTGATATTTCATCAACTAGCTTTTGATAATTTGATTTCAAAATCATCCACCTTGTGATGTGGTTGATTCGATGAAGTATCAAGTAATATTTCAAAATATCATAAAATACTTTGATATTTGATTATAAGTGAAATACCATCCAAAAAGACCATATTTGAACCCTCTGATAAAAAGCATTGTATACAAAAACATTTATTATTGAAGTTATTGACTTTGTAGTAAACAACTCACATTCTTTATATTGCATAAGTTATTAAATTTCTAATTGAAGACCTTTGAATGACTTTTTTTATATATTGTTGCTTCCATTTATATCAAAATACTACATAAGTTAGATTAAAGTCTCATTGATTCAAGTGATACTTAAGCATATTTAAGTACTTTAATGACACAATCATTAAGAAATATACCCGACTACAATGTTCTCATTTATAGAAAACAATTATAGCACTTTGACAGAAAACTAATATTCTAAATTTAAAATAAATAACAGAAGTAACATTCTTTTTTGTCCTTGTTAATATTATTTTGTACTCTGCCTACTACATTTACGTTTACACACAAACTAATATTTGATGGTATTTGGTATTCAGCTTTATTCACGTTGTATAATTCTTTTATGTTTTCATGTTTTGCTAATAGAATGTATTCCATGTGATATGCAATAAACAAGTTATTTTATTTTACATCCAAATATAGAAATTGGTTGTCTTTTAATGCCATATTTGGACTTGGTTTTGGTGGCTCACCACCAAAATCTGGGCAGTGACTCTACAGCAACGTCAAAGGCATTTTTATTGGGATTTTGCTTGGGTGTCAAACGGCGCCACCAAGGGGCAGTGGATGACCTTTGTGTCGTCCCATTTCAACTCTCGATGGGAGGATCCATTCACCCATTACAACGAAATTCCATTGGGTTGATAACATAATTCAAGCCCAAAATATAGGTTTCTTAAGATGTATCACATTTTAGGTTTCGGGTGTTTCAATTTCAGTGATGAATAACAATGAGAATTTAGCAATCAAATTAGAATATGAATCGTCTCAAAAGATATAGCATTTGAGTCTTTGATGTAGAAGTTGACCACATCTCATTCACTACTTACTGCACTTGTAGAAACGTCTTTTTTTTTTTGTTTTGAGGGGTTTGTTTCGATTTTTTCTTTTACTATTTTTGGACTACAAGCTTTTAACTGTTCTTCAAAGGTTAGTAGCTAAGAATCATTTATCATCACCTTTCGTACAGATACACAAACCCTCAGATCAAACTTTTAAGTCAAAGTTGCAATTGATCTAATGAATATAACAAAGGCAATTCTATCCATAAGAAGTTTGAATAATACGTATTATTCACTGAGATTTTTCTTCACAAATGATGACGTAACAACCCTATCCCAACCAAATTACCTCTCTAATGAGCAGTACATTCTTCACCAAGAGGCGGAAAATGATGTGATGATTTCAATCTCTAGGGGCCATTGTTAACTAGTATTTTCCGATCTATAGTGGCTGTGCACGTTTTTCTGTCGGTATAACACTGCCAGACTACTCATTCAAAGAGGAAATTAGTAACCCAAACATTCATACGTCGCCATACAAGGTGGGCCCACGAAAAATCAATAGAAAATATAACAATTAGACTCTACAGTCAGCAACACGCAATTGTTTACTTCGATGTTCCCATCAGTCATTTGCAGTACAGAAATCGAACCTTCAAAGCAAGATTCCTTTGTAGAAAACTATCCCATGATTACTCCACATAATCCCAAGTTTGAAATATTCCAAGCGGCAGCACAGTAGCAAAGTACCCCACTTTGTGCAAGGAACCGTGCAATATGAGCACATGTATACACAACACGCCTGTCTATTCAAATACAGTAACCAGCAAACAAGTAGGTGCATTGGAATTGAGAATCAAGGCAATGGGGTTGCAAGGCGCGGTTCTACAATTCATGAGTCAAAGTCACCACAAAAATAGGTCACGTGCCAGGAAGTAGATTCGCTGCCAGGCTGAAGGAACAAGACTTCGTAAGTAGTAAACTAGACCCACTCAGTTGGGCTAACGCTTCACGGTTAATCGGAGGTTGCGGCACCCTGATTCAACTCTGCAAAGCGCATGCTGACTCGCATAGAATGCTTCAAGTACTTCTCGGCACACCGCTTGACACAGGTCTCCTCTTGCTTGTCCAAAGTCTTCCTCCGGAAACTTTCCACGCAGTGACAGAAGCACCTCTCCACCAAGGAATTGTACATTTTCAAGCTGTAAAACACGAGACAACGAAGTCAAGAAATATCACTGCAAGGTTAGAAAAAAAAAGCAGTAAGAATGACCTAAACATAACCACACTCGAAACTGATTGTACTGCGGCATTCAAAGACCTTCGAGACCTACTATGCAGATAGATCACACTGTTACAAATAAAAATACTCTATTTAGACTCTGAAGTTCGATTACATATTTACTTGAGACATCAAGGCCTTCTAAAGACTCTTTGTAGTTATACTACTTTTCATAAACGATAAGGACATAAAACAAGATTGATCGCAAGAGCACGTGCAATTGTAATAAAAAGATTACAAGAAACGCTGCAAAGGCAGCCTGATTCGCTACACTATCAATGTTTCACATTAGGGTTCGCCCTTATTTCGAGTCATTTACCACACTCTCACAGGCAAGAACGTCCCACCAATCACGTTTCCCGCGATCAGTCCACGCCGGGTAGTAAGTTACAACAAAACCAAATAACAAAATTTTTTTTACAAAATTAACACAGAACATAACAAAAACGAAATTCCCAAAAAAACGATCCAAGTCCTCAGACAGTAACTACCCACAAAAACCTAAACCCCACAACTTCAAATCCACCACAAAGTCCCATGAACACACCCCACGCAGTCGCAAACATGGAAAGAAAACTTATGAAGTGAGAAGAATAAGGCGGCGCTCAACGAACCTGTCACGAACTTGAAGCTGGTCGATCATGAAGGACATACGGTGCTTGTCCTCCTCCGGCAACGCCTCAAAATCGGCTGGCTCCATGGCTACGAAGCGGAAATCCGAGCCCCTTGCAACAAACAGTCAGACACTGCGATCAGCGCGATCCGCCGAAGAAGCGCAGCGATGGAGTGGAGAAACGAAAGAGAGCCGAAAGAGTGTAGGAAAGTAGGGTTATGATGGGACCTAAACCCTTAACCCTCCTCTCTCCTTCTCCTCCTCTACCACCTCTGCCGTCTCGCCGATGCCGCTAACGAAATACCCCCACCCTCTAGATTTGGCGGCGATGGGGGTCCTCCTCCAGAATTGGAGGTGGAGTTGGGGGGTGTGTCGCTTCAATGTGTTGTTTCGCCGTGCTTGTTGTCCCCAACCCCCTTCGCCTCGTGAACTCCGAACACTCTCGTGGAAATGGGCTTTCAGGGTTTGCAACGTGAATTATCAGTTTTTCTCAATATAAAATATATGAAATCTTTAATGAGCGCATGGATGATAGTTTTTTTATTTTTTAATTGAGTAATGTTTTTAAAATATTTTAATGTGTAATGATCATGAGATTTATGTCTTAATATTGAGTATTAAGTGCCTCGGGGCCCTTGCTTCCAGACTTAGGAAATAAAGGAAAACATTTGGTGCAATTTAAAGAAAATGAACATAGTTGGATTTGATGTGACAAAAAAGAAGAATGTCATTTTTATTTATTTATTTATTTATTTTTGTAGGATTAGTTGGGATATGTATAACAAATGAAACATGGTGTTGTCACTGAGATAGACATGCAAAGTTTTAATTTTCTTTCTAAGTGTACATGAATATGTACATATACACACGTATAATAACAAAATTTTATGTTACTTTGCATAAAATCATCTGTATAGTTTCTAGTTTTTTTATTATTTTGATTTATAGAAAGCTTTTACATTAGAGCTTTAATTTGTCTTTTGGTTATATATTTTGTAAATATATATATTTTTTATCTTTATTAGATAAATTTTAGCCTTGTTAAGAACTAGTGGTGACTTTTATCATAAAAAATCAAAATAATTAAAATAAATAAATAAATAATCTTATAAATTTACTTCTAACATTCTTCTGTGATCTTTGTTTTAATTTTGAGCCTTTTATATTTGATTGATGATATCAAATAAAATCGTTTTATTTGAATATGAATATATTATTCTTTCATAAGTTTCAGAATCTTCTGATATTTTTCCACATGTTTGAGACAATTTAGTCTTTTATATATACGAAATTTGTATGTTACTTTATTTTTATTTTTTCTTCTTATTTTCTCTCTTTCGCCTTCTTAATGGTATTACTGTAATCAGATTAATAATTATTTTAGAATATATAAATCAAAAAATAATTCAGATGAAATATAATTAGTTAAAGTAGTTTGAAATCTTAATAATTGAATTTTGTGTATAATATTTTTATTTTATAAATAACTTTTTTATATTCATAATTGAATATATTATACATTTTGTCAAAAAGGATACTTCTTTGATACATTTCACAAAGTAATACTTCTTTAGCTTAAAATTTATGCATTTAATGAGAATAAGTTTTTATTTATATATAAATAATCTTATTTTTTAAGGATTTTTGAGGCTACTTGTATTCCAATTTTTAAAATATTTAAGGTTGTGGGACACATGTATATTTATATATATATATATATATATATATAGTATTGTAGTTATTTTCATAAAAATCTAATAAACTTACTAGGGTTGACACTAAATCACCTTGAAAAGAGTCTTTTGTGACAGACATGAAAGTCAAATCCTCAACTTTCAAAACTATATCTAAGATTTCTAGGGTCACTTGACCAAAGTGTCACAAACACACGTGGCACTACTATGGAGAGAGGTGTCCAAAAGAGATGTCCAGCACAAACCTGTCAAAGAAGTAATAGATTTTAAGCAAACAAACACATTCATAAATATGTAGAGAAAAAAAGAAATATATATATGTGTATATATATATATATATATATATAAGCTTTGGAATGTGCTCCTTAAAGCAACTTCTTACAAATTACCAACATCATATCAAAATAATACTTTTATAACATATTTTTATGCAAAACCAAATTCAGATAATACTGGAAATATCTATTTCGATGTATCATCTTAATTTGTTTGTTTTATTAATGCTACTATTAATTAATTATTTTTAAAAATTTAGTTTAACTCAAGGATAAATAAATATCTACTTCTTTTGAAATGTCTTATTGATTGTATTTTACTATTCAGGTAACTTAATTCAAAACAACTAGAAAATAAACATGTCGCCCATGTTTTCGTTTAAAATAGACAAGTAGTGAAGAAGAACATTAATTGAACTGGGAATGTCTTTTCAACAAAGCATTGAAGTAGCAGCCATGGGGAGGATGATTTGGAAATTTGTTTGGGTTTCCTGTTAAGGGACTTGTAAAGAAACAGCAATTTTGTATTGATCAAACTGAGTAAAAACGTGTTGTGCAAAGTAAATTTAATCACAAATTTGTGGTTTTGAGACTTATGTGAAGAATAGTTATAAAAAATGATGATACTTACACACGAATGAGCATTGTATCCTAATTGATCATTGAACAGATTAGAACAACTCACCAAACCCTAAAATCAATTTACATTGAAATTACAAAGTTAAATAATAATATTCATTTTGTACATACATTTACCAGTTAATGAATATCACTCTTTCTCCTGCACTTGAAGGACACCTACACTGTATGTATATATACATCTGTACAGATTTAATATGCAAAGTTGAGAACAGTGTTTAGTTAAGATATGCATATAAAACATGGCAAGCAAAGTTAAAAAGGATGCTCATCCCTCGAGGCGGACAAATAACCAATATTGACCAAATCTTAAAATAATGAGATCTTTCAAGTAATGATCAATTGGACAGCAGATTTGTTTCTAAAATAGAACGTCATTAAAATAAATAAATAAAAAAAAACCATTGAATAGAAAAGGGAGACTTGGAGTATTGATTAGAATATCAACCTCATTGAATGGCTTTGAAAGCATGCCTTTCACTCACAACCAACAATCCCATGCAAAAAAACAAAACTAACATGTAAAGAAGAGTTTATTATTTATAAAATTTGTTGTTGTCATTACATCAAATAGGACCCATGAATTGAATCTACATTGTCCACTTGCTCCTCACCCCTTAACCCATCCAGTAATGAACCCCCATAAACGTCTCATTGTTTAGGATATACATCAATCTTCCAACCAAAAAGTGAAAAAGTGAAAACCATAGCAAAGAGGAGGGAAAAACAATCAGAAGCAAAAGTCTTCACTACAAAAAACCCACATTTGAAAAAGAATGTTACAATATCCATCAAATCATAGACAAATAATAATAAAAAAAAAATCCATGGAAATCCCTTAGACTTCGAAACATATAAAATGACATGTATTCTACTCCCTCTTTTATTTTATTATTAATGTTATCATTATCATTAAGATTTGCCCATAGAAATGAAAAACCCTAAAGTTGAGATCCCAAATTCACCCGAGTCGATTTACCAGCCCAAAGGAGGTAAAAAGCGGAGAGGGGGTGGGGTAAAAAGGAAACCCGGCCCACGAGAGTGGATAAAGAGGAATCTAGATGCCAACAAAGACGCATTATACTTGTGGACCACAGAGTTATCTTTACAATCGGGAGGGCGGGCCGGGTGGAGGGACGGGACGAACTGATGTTTGGTTTACAGAGATCGCTCCGTCCCAAAATTCTCGGAGACGGTGACGTGCCAAAAGGAATCTAAATTATACGTATTAATTCCGAAGGGCCCGCCACGTCGAATGGGATCCTATTTCCCACCAGCCCCGGCCCCCCGAGACCCGTCCTGGGCCCTACCCGCGCGGAATCCATCCCCGTGGGCCACGGGGGGGTGATCCCCGCTCGGGTTTCCTCACCCAGGGTAGTCTGGTTCGGAAGGAAAGCTTTCTAGCCCTGGCGCTCCACCTTCAGTGGTCGTGGCTATCGTGAGTATGGGCAGTAGTAAAGGGGGCAGGGAGGCGTTTCTAGCGTCGGTAGCGCAGGGGTGCAATCGATGGTGGTGGAGGTGGTGGTGACGTGGTGGTGACGAGGAAGGGTGGAGAGAAATGCTGGAATTGTTGGGGAGATGGGCTGGGGGAACTAGTCAGACAAGCCCTTGATTAGTAGCGAGGATTATTATCGCCGCTTGTTGACTAATATGACCATGGCGTGGTATAGTGGTAGTAGAAGCAGTAGCAGGAGTGTTGGTGATGGGGATGCTGCTGGGAAGAGACCATCCCGAGTCGCCTAGCCGTAGCCATGGTTGGGTGACAGCGTGCTTCGGCTGGCGCGAGTGGAGTGGTTTGTCGACGAAGGAGGTGAGATGTTGCGGTGGGGTGGAGCGTCGTCGTCGTCGGAGCGGGAGTGGTGAGAGTTGGGGTGGGGTGTTTGGGGTTGGAGTTTTGATGGAGTTTGGAGTGAAGGTGGTGAGGATATGGCTGTGTGGATGTGGGTGTAGCTTGGCATGACGAGGGGGAGGGAGACGCTGGGGGACGACGCTATGAAAGGGGAGCGCAGGTTGCTCGGGTGGGCTCTCGCCGTGAGCTTAGTGGCGTTGCTGTCGTGTCGGAGTTGCTGTGGGCTGTCCCCAGATGGGATAGCGCTGCTTGAGCTCAAGGCCAGCTTGAACGACCCGTATGGGCACTTGAGGGACTGGAATTCCGAGGACGAGTTCCCGTGCGAATGGACTGGGGTGTTCTGCCCTAGCAGCTTGCAGCACCGAGTGTGGGATGTAGATCTCTCCGAGAAGAACTTGTCAGGTACTATCTCTTCCAGCATTGGAAAGCTTGTGGCCCTCCGAAACCTCAATCTGTCGTCGAATCGGCTCACAGGGCACATTCCTCCGGAAATCGGGGGACTGTCGCGTTTGGTTTTCCTAGACTTAAGCACGAATAATCTAACGGGGAACATCCCGGGTGACATTGGCAAGCTGCGAGCCCTGGTCAGCCTCTCCCTGATGAATAATAATCTTCAGGGACCTATACCTACTGAAATTGGGCAAATGAGGAACCTTGAGGAGTTGCTGTGCTACACCAACAACCTGACGGGTCCTTTACCGGCGTCATTAGGGAACTTGAAGCACCTGCGGACAATTCGAGCTGGTCAGAATGCTATAGGAGGTCCCATTCCTGTTGAGTTGGTGGGCTGTGAGAACCTCATGTTTTTCGGTTTTGCCCAGAACAAGCTGACGGGCGGAATACCACCACAACTCGGCCGTTTGAAGAATCTGACGCAACTGGTGATATGGGATAATCTGTTAGAAGGAACGATACCGCCGCAGTTGGGCAATCTCAAGCAGCTTCGGCTGCTAGCGCTCTACCGTAACGAACTTGGGGGACGCATTCCACCCGAGATAGGATACCTCCCCTTGCTAGAGAAATTGTACATTTATTCTAATAATTTCGAGGGACCCATTCCTGAAAGCTTCGGTAACCTAACATCTGCTCGAGAGATCGACCTTTCGGAGAATGATTTAGTCGGCAATATTCCTGAATCTCTATTCCGATTGCCCAATTTGAGATTGTTGCACTTGTTTGAGAATAACCTTTCCGGGACGATTCCATGGTCTGCTGGACTTGCACCAAGCCTTGAGATTCTGGATCTCTCGCTCAATTATTTAACCGGATCCCTCCCGACGTCTCTCCAGGAATCTTCGAGCCTAACCAAAATTCAACTGTTTAGCAACGAATTGTCAGGTGACATCCCTCCTTTGCTCGGCAACTCATGCACGCTCACCATCCTAGAACTGTCATATAACTCTATCACAGGGAGAATCCCGCCGAAAGTATGTGCCATGGGTTCCTTGATCTTGCTACATCTGTCATATAACCGGTTGACGGGGACCATCCCCAAGGAGATATTCGATTGCTTGTCCCTGGAGCAGCTCTACGTCGATTTTAATTTTTTGTCGGGCGAGCTTCTGCTGGAGGTTCGAGCTCTTCAAAATTTGCAGCAATTGGACATCAGGAGCAATCAATTTAGTGGCATCATCCCGTCTGAAATTGGGGAGCTCTCTCAGTTACAAGTTCTCTCCATCGCCGAAAACCATTTCGTGAAGACGTTGCCGAAAGAGATAGGCCTACTATCTGAGCTTGTCTTCCTGAACGTCTCTTGCAATTCTTTGACAGGCTTAATACCTGTTGAGATTGGTAACTGTTCTCGACTCCAGCAGTTAGATCTGAGTCGTAATTTTTTCAGTGGGAGCTTCCCCACGGAGATTGGGAGTTTGATCAGCATTTCTGCCCTAGTTGCCGCGGAGAATCATATAGAAGGCTCCATCCCCGACACACTGATCAACTGCCAAAAGTTACAGGAGCTTCACTTGGGCGGTAACTATTTCACAGGATATATCCCCTCCTCCTTGGGAAAGATTTCTTCTCTGAAGTATGGATTGAACCTCAGCCACAACGCTCTCATTGGCAGGATTCCAGATGAATTAGGAAAACTTCAGTATCTCCAGATACTGGACTTATCAACCAACCGCTTGACGGGGCAGGTTCCAGTCTCCCTTGCAAATCTCACCAGTATCATCTATTTCAACGTCTCCAATAATCAACTCTCGGGGCAGCTACCATCTACAGGTCTCTTCGCAAGGCTAAACGAGAGCAGTTTCTACAACAATTCAGTTTGTGGAGGTCCAGTTCCAGTAGCATGTCCACCCGCGGTGGTCATGCCGGTGCCGATGACGCCTGTGTGGAAAGACTCGAGTGTTTCAGCAGCTGCTGTGGTGGGTATAATCGCGGGTGTGGTCGGTGGTGCTTTGTTGATGATATTAATCGGGGCGTGTTGGTTCTGTCGGCGTCCACCTTCTGCTAGACAAGTAGCCAGCGAGAAGGACATAGACGAGACGATATTTCTGCCCAGGGCAGGGGTGACATTACAAGACATTGTGACCGCCACCGAAAATTTCAGTGATGAAAAAGTGATAGGAAAGGGTGCATGTGGGACAGTGTACAAAGCGCAAATGCCTGGCGGTCAGCTAATAGCGGTCAAGAAGGTTGCGACTCATCTAGACTCAGGTTTGACTCAACATGATAGTTTTACTGCGGAGATCAAGACTTTGGGTAAGATCCGGCACCGGAATATCGTGAAGCTCTTGGGGTTTTGCTCATACCAGGGATACAATCTCCTCATGTATGATTACATGCCGAAGGGGAGCTTGGGGGAGCATTTAGTGAAGAAGGACTGCGAGCTGGACTGGGATCTAAGATACAAGATCGCTGTGGGTAGTGCCGAAGGTCTGGAGTATTTGCATCATGATTGCAAGCCGTTAATCATTCATCGCGACATCAAGTCCAACAATATTCTTTTGAATGAACGCTACGAGGCGCATGTTGGAGACTTTGGCCTGGCGAAGCTGATCGATTTGGCTGAGACGAAATCGATGTCTGCAATAGCAGGGTCGTATGGTTACATCGCACCTGGTATGGATAGCACACTACAATAATATGCTGTTTCCATCTAGAGTTGTTTGTGGGTTTCAGTGGAGATACCCGTAAAGCATATCAAAATAGGTCTTGAAAAGACACGAACCAATTGGCGCTTCCCGCTTAATCCAAAGATAATGGCAGTTCTACTCCTTTGCTTGAGTTTTCTGAAGGAAGACCCCTTGTGGGTTTTGGTTTTCTTGTTTGGTACCCACCTTGGGTTAGTTTTTGAATTCATTCCAACTACAGATGAAACTCAAAACGAGTGTTTAAGTGAGGCTTCAACTGTCTGGACTTGAGGGTAACTTGAGTTGTTGCTGTCACTAAACTTTAGATTGTAACACTGGTATGTGCAGAGTATGCGTATACTATGAATGTAACAGAGAAGAGTGATATCTACAGCTTTGGCGTTGTGCTGCTTGAATTGCTTACTGGGAGGCGTCCAATTCAACCTGTCGATGAAGGAGGCGATCTGGTGACGTGGGTGAAGGAGGCCATGCAGTTGCACAAGTCCGTGAGCCGAATCTTTGACATCCGATTGGACTTGACAGACGTTGTTATTATCGAGGAGATGTTGTTGGTTCTCAGAGTAGCCCTGTTTTGTACAAGTAGTTTGCCGCAGGAAAGGCCCACCATGAGGGAGGTCGTTAGAATGCTGATGGAAGCCAGCACGAGAAAAGCTCGAGACTCCACAGACTCGCAGTCCGAAACTCAAGGCAGGGAGTCGGTCTCTGATGGGACCATCACAGATGGCACTTTGACCATCGCCGATGATACTTTGACAGACAGCATCACTGTGGCGAGTGATACCGACAACACTATCTCCGTGAAGGATGCATCTGGGAAGACCAACTCTGATAAACCATGAAGTGTTGGTTGGCCTCCCTGGTACAAGGGCAAGGCAGGAATGGGACCCTAAACCCTGATCAAATGTGGTTCATAAAGCTTCTGCATTCGATAGTATCGTTGGCTCCTCATCGATTATGACATGCGGATCAGCGACTTCTGCTTATTAACCAACAGACCATATTCTTCTGGCACATTCTTGCACATTCTGTCGAAGTTGCTTACAGCGTTCTGTAGGAAGTGTGAAGGGATTTTACAGAATTGGAAGTACAAGTCGCAAGAATTTAATAGTTGTCATGTCCAAGGCGTGCGGCAACTACATTCGCTCCTTGTACTGCCAACGGAAGTGTTGGTTTCAGCAGAAAGAGGTACTTGAAATTACTTCTCAGATACCTGTGGACTCAGAATGACGATCAGAAGTTCTGTCATTCTTGCTGTTGAACGAGCAGACGAAATTGTTTGGGTTGGTAAAGACTTGTGTCCATTCAGGTCTCGTGCTCCATTAACAGGAGGAGAAACACAAGGAGAATTTTAGTACAGTAGAGTGGAAAAGTTTCTCATGTGGCCAAAGCTTGGAGAGAAAATTTGTATTTCTCTTATGACAAATGGATTCACAACCTTATATCCTTACAACTGGGTATAATGGATGAGAAAGTGGAAGTACATTCAGACATGGTAATGGTCATTGCCAAGTAATCCTTGTTTTGTTGATATTTTTGAATTGACAACCTAATTAGGTTATTAATTAAATAACGTTTGCATTAGGTTATGTATACACACACAGTTTTGTATGTGAATGAGAAGAGTGTTTCACTTTCTCTCATACAAGAATGTAGAATGGGGCACAGAATGTATTGTGATTAGATGACGTTACCAGTCCTTCCTAGAATAGATCTTGAAAGGGACACGATTCAGTAGTATTAATGATTCATCTTATGCAGTATTTGTTTCAGGTATGGATGGATGTTGATGGAGAATTAATGCGGAAGAGAAATACAGAACTGTGTACGAGTCCAATTAAATGAGTTTACGAATTGTAGAGATTTACGGAAATTATTTATTAACATTTAGTAATCGAAGATTAGTTATATAGTTTGAGTGATTTACGTATGAAATAACAGAAAGTATTCTCAATGAAATTGTTTAGAAAACTGAAAGAATTGTCATGAAAGTACGCCGTGATTGATGGAGTTGTTAGCGGTTATTAGAGCAGTAGGATGTGGATTACTTTTCCTTTTAATCACATATTATGATACAACTTGGGTGTATACTATTTTTTCACAATAATTGTTACGTACTCACACAGCGGTTTTCAAGTCATTCATGATCCGACAGTTTAATATAGGTTGACAGGAAGTATACTGGACAGGAGTATATTCATATCGAACGTTGCGCTCAGTACTTGTCCTTGGAAAGGAAAAAAAAAGGAAAGAAAAAAAAAGATATTAAAATATGTTAACCGGATCGTTTGTTGTAAATCGGTAAGGACTGCTGTAATTTAAATCGTGCTGGTAGCAAACCTCAGTCTTACTCGAATCAAAATCCTGACCGTCAGTCGCGATGGTAGGTCAATTTCGACCTCCAAGGTCGGAACAAGTTTGATCATTCGATTTTAGTGTATCATCTTTACCCTGGAAGGCCTAATAGGGAATCAAGTGAGCAAAATTTGAACTAAAGCCTCTAGTTATATCGAATTAACCCTGTAACATTGTCCACCAGTCCAGTGTCCGCCCGATGTCCAGAGCCAGTGTCGCGCCCAAAGAAATAAGGAATCTGATGTGACACGTTAGCAAGCAGTTATCCTTTAATCTCTGCTAAGTGGATCTTGGCCATATGTTACACCTCCATGAAGGAGTGGTTTCAAAGCTGCATATTGAAAATAGCGAAGAGACTGTACAGTTACAAGAATGAGCAGAACAGAGGGCAATGCATTGGATGGTTCGTTCTCTGTACTGCCTTCAGTGGACAACATTCGGATTACTTCGCTACTGGGTGCGCAACCTGATGCTGGGTCATAGATGAGGTTGCAAAAGTTTGTTGTTTCTTCAGGAAAAAGGCGAAGGAGAGCAGCGTCTCGTTCTCCTCTACAACCTGAAATACTTCGCAGATAAGAATACCTCAAAAAGAAATGAGCATTACATGCAGGTTCTCCTGCATCATGTCGATCATTCAACAAAAGGCAAATAAATGTGCAAGACGACATACCTGAGCAGCAAAGTGTTGAGCAACAGCTGGAACGAGCTCCTCCTGGAGCAAGAGGAAAGTTGAATGTGAATCAAGGGGACAGTAAGAGGCCAATGATCAATTAACTCCCAAGTACCACGAGAGATGCATTAACTGGTTGGGGAGGGGGGGGGGGTACCTTGCCGCTGCCCGTCACTTCCCTCAAATTGTAGACACGCCGATACCGCTTCAATGAAGATGTCTGTCCAAATCTCAACAAGTGAACACAATTAAGTGCAGCCAGGACAAAACCACCATTAAAGTTACAGGAGACTGTTTTAAACAATTTTGCTAAATGGCCAAGAACTTACATCCAGTTTGGACAGATCAACTTGCAAGGGTCGTCTTGTGCTTCTCAGGGATAAAGACACCTTTGGCTTCTGCTCAAGCTCCTGCAGAGCGACTCACGGAGTTAGTAAACACGTCGAAAATGCCACTACACGCTACCATGTCCAAGAAGGAAAAAAAAGATGTGAAGGAGCCTCTCACAGAAGAACTATTATCCGCATAGGTCTGGCAGGTAGCAACCACTGCTGGTTGTTCTTGAGGCAAGCGACTACATCGCTTTTTCTCCGCATATTCCTGCGTGTTCTGAATGCCAAAAACACGCGCGGTAATGAAAATATTTGAACTATAAATTGACCGATAACAAGTGAAAGTGCAGAAAAACATGTGACGTAACATACAAACACCCACCTGAAGTAAGCATTATGGTCCATACTTATATCCCAAAATCCGAAATACACATGAGCATCGTACAGAATAAATACCTCTCTGCAGTTGGGACAGAGGTAAAATGCTGTGGAATCCACTTGGTTGCCTCCACTAACTTCACATTCCACATGAACCCAACGACGACAAGTTCGGTTGTCGCAGCCTACCCACTGCCAACAGACGTGCACAATGTGAATACCCCATCATGCAACGTGCCAAGAACCCATGCATGTACAACATAGCACACTGATCAACACCTACGAACCCCCAGGAAACTACGGCACATCCAGGCGGTGGAACCAAGTTGACACATTACAAAGGAGCGGTCAAATACCTCCTTCCCGTCGAAAGAGTCAGGATCCTTCTCGCGGTAAATTTGCACACAGAAAGGACAGAATTTTCCCTGACACTCCAACAATTCCATCAGTTTTTCTTGGACAAGTCATTTCTGTCAACTCAAAACTCACAGAAACGCATGGATGCAGCAGAAATTAAAGCAATTGTTGGAGATGGCGTTCGCAAGCCCTCGATCAAGAATACCAAATGACACTTTAAGACAATCATTGCTTGGAATAGCCCCATCACTAATTGGGGCGATTATGAAACAGTTACCTGATCGAAGTTGATCTTGCAAGCATTGCAGAGGGTGACATGTTTAGGGTCCTTCTGGCTCCCATAGTTCCGTACATGCCACCGACAGGTCCTGCAGTTATTCACTATGTGTTACGGGTAATTCAATTTCCAAGAAAGACTCTAAATGTGGCTACATCAGCACCGAACATTGCTCAAATCGGTATCTAAATTTGGGCTGCCAACAAAAAAGAGACCAAGGGTAAATACAGAGACACGAAACTTGATTAACTGACGTCGTTCTTTGTTAATAACTACTCAAAGAAAATCTGGAGCACCTGCATTCTTCTAAGCTGTAACCCCCAGTGTCACATTAAGATTTCCCACTATTTCAAAACATCCTAGAAATGATTAGACATGCCAACTATGTACATGCAGAAACTAAGAAAGCCTCGGCTTGTCCCTACACAATTTCAAGAGTCTGCGAAATTGTGAATATCTGCAAGATTAACAGCTGCAAGAGAAGACGGGAGAGCCAACTCACGGTCCATCCCCCGGAGAGGTCCGCTTGCAATGAGGATTTGAACAAAGCTGCCTCGAAAACATGACTACAAACCGAGTTGAGCCAAAACCATCTGAACAAGGGCACCGGCACAAGCCTTAATTGATCGTCCAGCACAACTCAAGGAACGAACTTCCCGCTCTTTCCCAAGACGATCAACCCCGCTTCAGATTTCCCTCTCCCTCAAAGAACTCAAGTCAGTCCTCACAGCCCCTGCATTTCCATACTCCAGCCAAGTCAAGCTCCAAACTCACATACGATCCACCAACACAACACACGCAACCCGGTCCTCGTCTACCACAGGCCCCAACAATGCACTCCTCACCAACCCAAAACCAAAATCAATCAAACCCCCTCACCATCGCCATCAACATCGCCTACCATCACCCCTGTCGCTGTCACCATTATCGAAGCTAAAACTCCACAGTACAGCTTTAGTCACGCCATCCCCAGAGCTCAATTCAAGAACCATCAAAAATATGAAAATAAAAAGACTAAATTAAAAAACTCTCCAAGAAACTCTCCTCCACATTGTCCAACCCTCAAACTACACCTCCTCGTCCTCCTCACCTCCCCACACTCAGAATCCTCTTTTCTTAACCCCAAACTAACCCTCTCGTCCAGATTCCTCCTCCCCGATCATACCCACAAATCGCAACGACTGTCGCAGCTCATGGCAACACTTACAAGAGCTGAATTTTCACCCAAGCGGGGTTTAAGCGACTCCACGCGTGGTCCACGAGAAGAACGGGGGCGACAGAAAGAAATCCTTCAGAACATGGAAGGCGCGAAGCACCAAAAACCAACGAGGAATAGAGGTAAGGTGACAGCAGAGGGATGGATGTTAACTAATTGTCCGATTGCACAACCTACAAACCGCGACTAAGAGACAGGGCATCGGATTGACTTTTGGAATTTACTCAACACCCAAAACTCAATTCAATCGAAAGGGGACGAGCAACAGTAGGATTGGACGAATTGGGACGAATTGGAACGATGAGGGTAAAGTGTATATAAGCCCTCCTCCCTCCGCCTGGCACCGTTGAATATGGAGGCGAGAACTGATGCGGGGCTCCCGTTGCCAAGAACAATCACAACAGCAGCATCGCTTGCGAAGCATCTCTGGCGCGATCGCGCAAACCATATTCCGCCACATCAGCCTCGAGGAGGGTCCAACCCCATTGGTCCAACCCCTTGTCAGAGGGTATGGCCTATGAGTATTCACCAGCTGGTATTTATTTAATGCTGCAGCGGTACAAGTCAGCCCATCATGGCGGTCCGTCTCTGTCCCCGTCTCCGGCCGGGTCCCTCCCCCCACTCACACACCCGGTCTCTGCCTTTACTGCGGTCCAAGGCAGTACCCGATTCCCTCTTCATTGCGGGGACCAGCACCGGCACTGTCGCCCGGCATTGGTGGGGTCCCGGACGCCACGGTGTCGCCCATTCAATGCCGGGTTTTATGGCACCCGCGGTTGACCGCGGTCGTGGGTGACCGCCTACACTCTGGATGGTTCTATATTTCCGTGATAGCTCTTGATTTAATTCCCGTGCTGTTTGTTGAATTAAGATCGTGCCATGCTGTCATAAGTGTGGGCATTACTTTTGCCTTTTGTTTCGTTAGGAGTTGGGTTGAAAAGGATATCTCAGCTGAATCTATATCTGAATCACCTGTTCTCAAATTTGAAGAGTTTTAAAGTTTCGAGGCTTGACCCTGGTGAACCATTTATCAGAGGGCCCTTGGTTCCCATGACTTCTTTTATTACTTTGCACTTTTTTACTGTTTGGTGCTCTCGGGAAGGGATTTTTTTTTTTTTTTTTTTTTTTTTTTGTAACTTGTACATGGTTAGCATATCACATTTAATTGGAGATATAATTTGTTGAGAGCGATTATTTTATCAACAAATCATATCTCCAATTTATTTTTTTCTCATGATATTTTTTGGCACAAATCTTCTGTTTCACTTCATAAAAAAATGGTCACAAATTTCATTAGATTTTATTTAATCTTTTTTTTTTTTTTTTTTTTTTTTTTTTTTTTCTGTTTTTAACACATAAAACATTTCTATCTTTGACGAAACTAGCCTAAATCATTACATATATATATATATATATATATATTTATTGTTCTGTGGTTTCCCTTCAATAATTTTGACTATCCTTAAGTCCAAGTTGTTTGTAGGCAAATGTCAAGGACAAGAACTCGATGAAAAAACAATTCAGACAAGTGAGCCTTCACTCAAAGAGAGGTAACAAAATATATATAAACAAGTATATATATTGAAAGAGAAACTGGAATGGCTATTGCCAAAAGACAAGAAAACTAGAGACCCTTGAAACTAGACTAGAAGCAAGAAAGGAGTTGACAAGAGTGAAGAAGCCTTCACTCTTGTCTCTATATATATTATCTAACTAGGGGCTACATGGTGGCGTTCTATAGGACCTCCAATATGTGTTGACTTTGTAGGACACATGCCTTGACTTACAAGACAATTTTTTCTACATGTGGGCCACATAGTTAGCTTGATCTTCAAGCTAACAACATGTGTGGCACATGGCCAACTTGTTGACCACGTTTCTAATCCAAAAAGTCAATTAAAGACACCTATGAAGTCAAAGCAGCATCTAGGAAGCTTCTAAAAAGCTTTCATATTAAATATTATAGAATTAACTTACTTTTACCTACTTTTACTTACTTCTACCTATTTGTATATGTAATTATTAGCTTACATGATTATGGCCGTGACATTATCCCCCTTTCTAGAGACGAGTTCCACGAGGAGCGGTCATCATATATTGAGGAAATCTATGATACGACGAATTGTATTCGCCACATACTCTGATCTCTGTTCTCTTCGAAGATGATTGATAGGGCCTCTCAACCATCGGTAGTGTCCCATATCAGGGTGGGAAGACCACCCAATTATTTGATCATTGTTGAGGCCTTCGTAACTTCCTTCGAATAGAATATTTGAAATACCATTAGGAGTTGTTCCTACCTCTAGCAAAATTACTAAACATCGGGAGTCCCTTCCCAAATCGTGATACCAAACGCATTGTATCTCACCATCTATTCGAGGAAGAACATGTCGTTCTTGAAGATCTTCATCTCGATTGCGTCGTCTTGAAGGTTGTGACAATCGTAATGTCTCGTCCGACAGGTCAGCAAATGAAGGCTCTTGAGTTGAATCCGCTGGTTGTTGGTTCTCCATCTCTTGAGCGCCGCTACTACAATGAAGCTACGAACAAGAATTGAAAGTAGAATGTTATCTTGCCTAGATGTTGTTTTTTTTATAAAGAAGGTTTTCATCTTGATTTTGATGGATGTCGTCGATGAAAAGCCTCCACCGCCTTTGCTGCATTTGCAAGATTTTTTATTGGCTCCCATGTGCGTTCACTAATACCATATCCGTGCCAATGGATAAGATATTCTAATTTATTTCGGCGTCGCCTTGAATCTAAGACTTCTTCTACTTCAAACTCTTCATTATTGTCCACTTCTATAGGAGGAGGTAGAGCTTGTCGTCTTCTTGGTATGTCCACTGTCTTGTATGGTTCAAGAAAAGACATGTGTAATACTGGATGGATTTTCATTGACTCCGGTAGATGTAAACGATATGCAACTGGATTGATTTGTGCAGAAATAGAAAATGGTCCCAGCCTTCGATAGTCCAACTTGTCACAAGGACGAGTGGTCTTGATATTGCGACGAAGTAGCCATACCTTATCACCCAAGACGAATGATGGTTGTTCCTTTCGATAGACATCCGCATTGGCCTTTTGTTGTTGTTGAGCCTCTTTTAACTGCGCCTTCATCGTTGCATGTAGCTTTCACAAATGAATTGCCAAATCTTTCACAGCAGGATTATCAACTTTTGAAAAGTCAAAAGTATCAAGTCGTGGATGATAACCATAATTAGCAAAGAAAGGTGTTTGTTTTGTAGAAGAGTGTACCGTGTTATTGTAAGCAAACTCTGCCAATGGCAAAAGAGTTGTCCAATCATCTTGTTGGTAATTAATGGTACATCTTAAATATTGCTCCAAAACTTGATTAACACGCTCCGTTTGTCCATCAGTTTGAGGATGGAATGCCGAAGATAGTTTTATATCCACTTTAAGAATCTTGAAAAGAGTTCGCCAAAATCTTGATATAAATTGAGTTCCCATATCTGATATGATATCCTTGGATAATCCATGATAGCGATAGATATTGTCAAGAAAGAGCTTAGCTGTTTCTTCACCTGTGATAGATTTTGTACATGATACAAAATGTGCCATCTTGGTAAAACGATCTACTATCACGAATATAGAGTCATAAGAACCTGAGATTGGAAGATCCGTGATGAAGTCCATAGAAACAGAAGACCATGGTTGTTCTGGAATGGGTAATGGCTGAAGAAGTCCAAAAGATCGATGATGAGGAGTTTTCCATCTTGAGCAAACTTTACATGATTGTACAAAATCTTTAACTGCCTTCCACATTTGAAGCCACCAGAAATCCCTAGATATCAGCTCCAAAGTCTTATTATATCCGAAATGTCCTGCTGCTGGGAAGTCGTGACAAGCTTGAAGAACACGTAAACGAGCTTCTTCTTCTGGAACATATAGGCGTCCTTCAAAATAGAATAGGTTGTTCTTAAATTCAAATTTAGATGGATCATGAGATTTAGAAGAATTGTTCTTGATATCATGAACAAGAGGGTCTAAAGACATACTTAACTGGACTTGCTTAAGGAAAGTTAAATCAACAATCAATGTTGATTTTATTACTCAAAGATGAAATTGTTCCGGCTTCAAGAGAACCGTTCTTTATTGCTCAAAAGCTGCATCTCCTTCTTTTGGTGCAAGATAAGAACGTCTAGACAAGGCATCGGATAAATCTTGTTGTTTTCTTGGCCGATAAGTGATGATGAACTCGAATCTTGATAAAGACATGCTCCAACGAGCTTGGCGACGATTTAATACGCGTGCTGACATAAAATATTTGAGGTTCTTGTGATCTGTATACACGATGACTGGACTAGAAGCGCCTTCTAGATAATGACACCATTCTTGAAAAGAATCCACAATTGCAAGAAGTTCTTTGTCGTGGATCTCATAATTGATTTCTGCTGTTGAGAATTTTCTTGAATAAAAGGCTACTTGATGAAGTTTGTCATCTGTTCCCATTTGTGATAAAACTGCACCCAGAGCAAAGTCCGATGTATCTGTTTCCATAAAGAATGCTTTGGAAAAATCAACATGATACAAGATTGGTGCAGAAACAAACGCTGTCTTCAAAGATTCAAAAGTAACTTCCGCTTCTTGATTCCATTGGAGTTTGGCTTTACAAGTCAAATGTGTAAGTGGAGCTGCAACTCAAGAGAAGTCTTTGATGAAGATCCGATAGTAGTTGGCAAATCCCAAAAAACATTGGACATCTCTTACCGTTTTTGGAATCTTCCAGTCTATAATAGTTTGAACTTTCTTAGGATCCATCATAAGTCCATCATTTGAAATGACGTAACCTAAGAAATCGACTTGAGTAGTGTGGAATACACACTTTTCTATCTTGGCATAGAGTCTTGCATCTCTTAATTTTTGTAACACATGACGAACATGAAGTTCATGTTCTTTTGGATTTTTAGAATAGATCAAGATGTCGTCTAGATAACATACCACAAAATCGTCCAAAAACTCTCGAAAAACATCATTCATTAGATGTTGAAAAGCTACTGGTGCATTTGTAAGTCCAAAAGGCATGACGTTGTATTCAAAATGTCCATACCTAGTTCGAAACGCAGTCTTCCATTCATCTCCTTCTTTGATGCGTACTAGATTGTATGCTCCCCGAAGATCTATTTTTGTATAGATCTTAGCTTGATTCAGCTGATCAAGAAGTCCGGATATTAAAGGTAGTGGATACTTGTTTTTGATGGTAATCTTGTTGAGTCCTCGATAAATAACACACATCCGCAATGATCCATCTTTTTTCTTCACAAATAGAATTGAAGCTCCTGCCGGAGATTTAGAATGGCGTATGAAATTCTTGGCTAGATTTTCTTCAATATACTCCTTGAGTTCAG